ATAGTATTCTATTATCCTGCATGCATAACATAAATGTAACGTAATAATACAGGTTATAATTTACAAATGATATTACACAGAATCTTATCAAAAACAACAGATTTTAGACCGTACTCAACTATTGTTTGATAACTTCGTTAGTATTCTATTATCCTGCATGCATAACATAAATGTAACGTAAATCAGTTAGTAGCAGTGAGAAGATATACGCAGACATTCCTAATTTTATAACTGCTAAACTAGAGGGAAGGCAGTTAGCCAATAACACCCACCGTCAACTCTTAGACCATTTTAATCGATAGTGGGATTTGACCATCAATCTCATAATGCACACAGGGCGGAGCTCAGTTTTGTGACAAAGGAAGGCGAATTCACTGTGCGGCAAGCTAGACATTCGGTCACACCTGTACAAGTGAGAAGGAAGTGGATCTATTGTTAAAAGTGCAATGTTAATTTTTTAATTGTTTGGCAAATGAAATACACAATGTGTCTTGACCTGGTCTCCAAGGCCAGGAAAGAAAAATCCTGAAGTACATGACTTTGACATACAAAAATACAGCACCACGCCCATTTTCTATCCCAGTTTCCTTAGACGGCCATGATGCTCTGATTTCAGTTTTACTAGTTCATTCTGTATAATGTCAAACACAAATCTACATATCTGGGCTATGTGCTATTCTCACAAAAGGGATCCAATCCTCAATTTTAGCATTTTAGTATTATAAGCCCTCAACGTTACCGACCAGTCATCGGGGGGTGGAGGGGGATTTTCTAGTTTCAAATTCAATATAGTCTTTCTAATACTTCTTATATATATATATATGTATAAAGACCACTAAAAAGTCCAAAATCTTAAGATAATCATTATTCCTTGTCAGTTTCGTATCTATGGATATTCTTCAGAATAAAACCTTAAAAATGGAAACCCGAACAACGTACACGTACAAAACAAGACTTTATACAGGCTAAACCTAAGAAGGAAAACATTCTAATTAATAAAGAGCCCAACTTTGGCGCCTTTTTGTCTTGAACATCCTCAACATTCTAAATATTATTGGTTTGAAAGTGTGGCATTAAACTTGTAAGTCTTAGATATTTTGTGTTTTATCACATCTACATACAGTAATGGAATGATTATGGAAACACAACATTTACAAATACAGAATTTACAAACAAAGAGTAATAGTAACTTATTATTAATGGTTTAAAACATTATCATAGAAAACACAAAATATAAGCAAATAGGTTGTATTTTACTTAGTCTATTTTTGTCACGTACAAGAAAGTAGACAAATACTTTCTATAATAGCTTCTCTGCATAGCTTCACAAAAATAGCTTTTGCTTTAATATATGCTGGTATTGGACCCTATAATAGCTAATCTGTATAGCTTCACAAAAATAGCTTTTGCTTTAATATATGCTGGTATTGGACCCTATAATAGTTTTTCTGCATAGCTTCACAAAAATAGCTTTTGCTTTAATATATGCTGGTATTGGATCCTATAATAATTAATCTGCATAGCTTCACAAAAATAGCTTTTGCTTTAATATATGCTGGTATTGGACCCTATAATAGTTTTTCTGCATAGCTTCA